AGTAATACCTTCAGAATTAAGTACAGTATATGTAATATAATTGTAAAACTTAATCTTTTGATTTAATATTGCACTTCATGACTATTATTATTTTCCTCAAAATTACCATCCTTTATTGGTTGCACTTGGACATCCTCATTTGGCACTTAGACATCCTCAATTAATTGTACTTGGACATCCTCAATTGGTTGCACTTGGTTATCTTCTTGATTATTCGTTAAATTTTGACTAGTTGGTATCTTTTTTGAAGAAGTTAATGTATTAAAAGTGAAAACTAGTTGCGCAGTTCTTCGCACTTAGTCATCATCTCGTCTATTAATTGACTTTTGACTATTTTGTTTCTTTTTTGAAGGAGAATTCGATGTTTTAAATGTGGAATCTATATATATAACTTAATACAAGAAAGGGCATTATAAATTGATAGTAACTATCTATTTGCACTGGTTGTTAGTAATGACATAAAATTTATAAACTCATTCATAATAACATACCAATTGTATTTTGTAACCTAGTTCTTATAGGAACTATTCTTCCAAATGATACCAGTTTTGTATTATCTTTCTTTACCATAAGCTCTATAAAGTTTATAATAATAAATTTATTGCAAAAATATGTATTATACATTTATTTACTTACGATTATTTTTTTTTCTGGGTGGCATAGTAATTTGATGAAAAAATCCCTTGCAAACCATTTTTAAAATATACTGTATATATGGTAAAAATAATGTAATGGCACCATTACTATACATCAACTACTTTCGATTTTGTATTATTAAATATGTTACATTTCATTTTCAATAAATGTAATGCCATCATTGCATCAATTACTTTTATACTTCACTTATTTTCAATTATACATTATAGCAGGATAATGTAATGCTATCATTATATATCAATTATTTTCAATTTTGCATTCTTAAATATTTTATACTTCACTTTTAATTATACATAATTTGAGTAAAATTTCAAAAAAATTTCAACAACAATAATAAAATTCTTACCTATATTACTCTAAAATAAAACAAACAAAGAGAACTGCTTATCATTATTACTATATTAATTTGGAAAAATTATGTACTACAAAGTGATACAAAGAGGAATTATCTGAAATAGGTCAAGACAAGACACAAAAAGTTAACATAATAGATTTAATAGATTTAATGGATTTTGCTGATATGGATATTTCAGAGAACGTTTTCTCCTCTGTAGAAAGTAATTTAATTGAAGTGGCTAATGAAATTGATGAAGAAACTGACAAAACTAATGAAGTTGATAATGAAAGTGGAGAGACTGATGATGAAAGTGGTGAAGTGATGAAGCTGACGATGAAAATAGTGAGATTGATGAAGCTGATGAATTCGAAACATTTATAGACAAGGTTCGAATGTTTTAAATATTCATATACGAAATGTTAAAACAAATATACCCTTTATATATAATTTTTCTTTTATAAAGGAGCTAGAATAAGTATTTCCAAGCCTCTCAAAGAGACTATTGATTGATATTATAGAAGAAAATCCAACAAATGATGAAATTTTAGAAGAATCTTCAGAATTTAGAGGTTTAGATAGAGAATATGGACCATACTTTTCAAATTTTACAGTCGCAATGCTTTATATATGGAGTACTAAGCATACAATTAGTAAGTAAAATATTGCATTACATAAGATGAGCCTAAATTTGGAATTTCCTTTTTGAATTTAGAGTTTGCTACATGCATAATCTATTATTTTATATTAAACCTGTTTTACATATTTATTCTAATACGTATTAGAACAAGAAAGGATTATTCAGAAAATAACTAATAATTTAATAATATATATATATATATATATATTTTTTTTTTTTTTTTACATACGTATAAATATTATTTTTTAGCAACTAGTGCATATAAAGATCTTTCTAAAATTCTTATACATCCTGACTTTCATACTGAAGATGTTGTTACAAATATTCAGTGTATTCACAAGTGGAGGTATAGATTGCCTCTAGTCAAAGTATATCAGCATGATGTACCTATTTGCTAACAAAAAATGCCAACTATGACTGCATCTACTAAAAAAGCATTTACTATATCTCCTTTAGAATATTTGGAGCATATATTGAATAATCTAACAATTATGCCTAAGCTATATTTTAGGCCTGGTATAGTTAATGAAGAAAAATATGAATTTTGGCATAGTGATCTCTGGCAGGATTCTCCTCTTTTTGGAGAGCATAAAATAATTGTAATAATGGAGATTGATATGAGATTTGATTCAGTGGTTTGCATTACCCTCTCCCTTCTCTCCCTCATAATAAAAATTTTTTAAATAATATAAAGACTAGCACTGGTAGAAAAGTAGTACTTTTTACTAGATAATATATTATTAAAATATAGTAATTATATTTAAATATTTTGTCTATTACCCAGTATTAAGTAAAGGTTTGTACTATATTTTATAATATATTTTCTAGCAAAATATAATTTTTTTGACCAGTGTAGAGTTATTTCAAAAAAATTTTTTTTTTTGAAATTTTACTATGTAAACCTCTTATAAAACCTCCTCTTTTAAAGTGGAGATGTAGTGTATAAACTACTAAATTAAATTAGTTTGGTCTTAGTTTATTTACATATTTATTTTAAAATTTTTGAAAATTGTATTTAATTAGAAATTTATAGGCCAGGTAACTTTGTTTTATATAAAGAATTACTAACCAAAAAATTTATATGCTGTATTCATGGCATAGTAGATAACAAAATAAATAAAGATTATAGGTTAAAAGTGGATTGCCTCATGCAGCATAATAATTTCCCTAATTGCCAATCTGACAGCACTCATCATACTCATGGAAATAATAAGGAACTATGGCTTGTAGATAGTGATTCAACCTTCATAAATCTAGAAAGTATTTGTTAATGCATTATTGTGTGGTTATGTGATTTACCTGAACCTAAAAATTCTGATTTTTATGTTCAGAAAATTGTATATAATTTTAATAGTCGTTAGAAATATAATGATATTTCCAAAAGATATTATTTGCCTTGTAAATATATTACTGTTAAGCCACCACTGCGACCAATGCCCATGCTTAAAGTATTTTTTGATCTATATCATGATAGTTTTGGTACTTACAGAAATGTGTACCACTCTTTAGATGGTACATATTTACAAATTGAGAATATGTCCCATTCAGATCGAAATTATTAAAAAATTATTTTTTGTTAAGGTTTGTTCCATTTGAATCTAACTTTAATGATTTCATACAACTAATTATTAAAGATATTCAAAAGTTAGAAAATAGAATTATAATACATACACTATATGGTGATACATGGATAATTGGCGGAATTGGATGTATTACATCTGATCTACTACAAGGTAATAATTTTGCAAGTATTAAGTAGCATAAGGCGAATAGAGGTTGTCGTACGTGCAATATATTGAATAATAAGCTTACTAATTTAAGTTATAACTATATTGAAAATGCACATTTTCAGCAACAAACTAAGAGGCAATTATTAGAAATTCAAGATCAACAATCAAATATGCGTAAAAAACAATTAGCTATAATGTATGAAGTGACATCTTTTAGACCTTTTAAAATACTTAAGTAGGATCATCATATCCAGACCCCCCAGGATATTTATCACTCTATAGCAGGGAAAGCTCATACATTATTAGGTGCTACAATTAATGTATTAAATGCAGCTGGTGAAAATTCATTTATTACATATTAGAACTGTATCGAAAAGTCAACATTCTGGTCCCGTATGCCTAATCCATTATAGCATTATCAAAATTTATGTTCTCAGATATTTTGAAACTTGTAATATTAATGCCATTTATCCTTCAACATTTTTTAAAACCTCAACATATTAAATCAGATATTCTAAAAAAATAGAATAGCAAAACACAAATTAAACAATTATGCATTCTATAGGTCACTGAAACAAAAGTACTCAAGCTTGCTTTTTCAATAGTAATGACGAAAACAATCTATTAAGAATTATCAGAATCATTAAAAAAAGAACATAACATGCTTATTCAAGTTATGTATATTATTTATTTTATTTTATTTTATTAATTTTATTAATTTTAAATTTTCTTACTAAATTATTTAATTTATTGTTATATAGTTGTTTTCTGATCGCTTCACAAACTTACCTAATCTTCACATCAATATTCATCTTATACAACATACTAAAAATTTTGCTACATTAAGAAATATAGCTGTAAGTACAAAAGAAATAGTCTATGGTACCTTTAAAAGATAGTTCCGCATACCAATAAAAAAATTATAGAACTTAGCCTTATAAAGTATTATAATATGATGCAAGCATTAAGACATATTATAAACAGTTGGAAAGATTCTCAGTTTGATAATACTATGGCACTTTCTAATCTTGCTTTAGACCCACACCTTAATAAAATTTTCATCAATTAGTACGCTACAGAAAATACAATATTGTATTTAGAGGATGAAATTACAAATAATGGTAAATGGACTTTAAATTTTAATAATATTTTGCTTTATTTATAAAATATAACTAGTGCTTAGCAAAATCCAACAAAAATTTGATTATCAAATACTTGATCAATCAAATATCAAATATCTGATTTTAAATCAAATTATTTATTACTAAAATTATAATTTGATTTAAAGTCAGCTATTTAATATTCGATTGATCAAGTATTTGACAATCAAATTTTTGTTGGATTTCACTAAACACTAAATATAACTTATTTTAAAATATAGAGGGTCCTATTTGTCAAGATAAAAATTTTATCAATATTAAGCTTAAAGACCAATGGAGTGCTGAAAAATTATAAAGCATAGGTTTATCGAATACATTAAATGAGGATCATTTACTTTTTTGAGATCTTTATAAAACATACGCAAAATATTTTGAGTCAAGAAGTGCAATATTAAATCAAAAGATTAAGTTTTACAATTATATTACATATACTGTACTTAATTCTGAAGGTATTACT